TTCCAAATCAACGTGCAGGAAAATCTCTCGTCCTCCATCTTGATCCAAAACATGGAAGAAAGGCTCATTAAGTGAATAGTCCAAGAAAGAATTTTAGGCTTCTCAGTGAGAAAGAATCAAGATTTTGTCATGGCGATGCTATTGTATTCGAAAGTTATTGTGTTGTTAGCTGTGGAGTGTTACATTACTTCTCAACTTCATATCTACTTTAACCTCCTCTCAATACATTGATGTTTTTGGTGAGCCATCCATCATTTCCACTTTTGTTTACAGTTTTTATTGTTTGGAATATAAACAATTTGTTTTATGAAGAACAGTTATTTGGAGTAGGCGATCTTTTATGCTAAAATGCTTAAATCTTTTGTATCTTGAGTAAACTATGTATGTGGACATGTCTGTGTGTACATGACTTTGTGGACATGAAGTCATGGATCTCTTCATGATCTTAGTAGTTTTTATGATCTCATAGATCTATTGCATTTAAATTAGTTATTTGTTTTCTGTATCCAAACAGATCCGTCCATATGGCTCTGTCCATTGTTATGTATATACATATATGCATCCATGTTTAGGTCATCTCTAATTTTCTGGTGGCTCTTAATCCCATAAATAGTTTATATCCATGTAATTGCATTATTGCATCTATATTGGTTTAATGTGCTTTGTCACTCTAATTCATTGTTTAGTCTCGAATTTACTACATATCTACAATTTTTTCATCAAAAAGATATCCACAACATCTCAAAACCCACAATAGATATGTAGCTCTTGGTAAATGTCTCATGTGAGAAAAAAGACTCATAAGACTTTTTTTTGGTGGAGCATTACTGTGTTTTCTCAGATTTTAAGAAAACTTGTGCAGACGTTAATGTCTTATGATTTCATGTGGATAGTTCTATTAAACTCTTGAGATTGTGAACTTTTTTTTGTCTTGCACTTTCACTTTCCATCCACACAAATGCATCCATGTGGTTACATATTATCATATGATAGCTGAATTTGAGATTCCATATTATATTATTACCAATTTGAGGATTGATACATATAGATTACTGAATTTGAGATTCCATATTATATTATTATCCATGTGGCCAATGTAAGAATATGCTAACTTTTTGTGTATATTTGTGCTTAAACTTCGATAGTGATAACAATTTGATATGTCTAACCAAGTTCAGGTCAAAGCAAAAAAAATGAAACAAGAATAACATAGAGGGAACATTGGTAAAAAAAGCTAAGATTTGAACTCATGTTTTGTTGATGCAAGAGGCTAAAGCTTAAATAGAAACATGTTTTTTTTTATCTCTGTTTTATCGTTTTAATGCTTCTTTGGTAACAGAAAAGTTGTGAGTTGTTCTTTGGTAATATATAAGATTGTTGTTGTACTATTTAAACATCAGAATAAAAGGAAAAACTTGCAACATTTTTGAGTTGCAATGTTATCAAATGGTGTGTTTGTGAGTTTAACTGTAACCTATTAGTGCCCATTTGTTCATGATAGAGATATCCATATTCATATATGTACATCCACAAACAGGTATCCATATGGATTAGTCAATTTCGAAAAATTAGAGAAACCAAACTATGCTTCTAAAAATTCAGAAAAGGCAGAAATAGAGGCAAAGAATCATGTAAAATCTATCCACTCATATTCATGCATTGATACATACAAATATTACAAGCCATACTCTCGTACGATAACGTCCATAATCGTGTATCCACAAATGATCATCCACACATAAATACAAAAAACTATTCTCAAATATATCTCAATCCTTTGTCTTCTCCTCCCAAATCGTCATCTCCGCCTGAATCACACATGAACTGTGAAACCTTCTTAGATTTGCATATTGAAACTAATATTAGGTTAATAGATTTGGAGATTGTGATTCTTTAACAATTATAAAAAGTTTTATACAATTTAGAATTTTCCTGAACATAATAGGAATTTGATTTTTGAGTCTCTTTTCTCATCACCGTCATTCTTCTGTCGGAGACGAAGCTCCATATTTTTTTACAAAAAAAAAAACTTTATTTGTCACCATTCAAATAACAAAATTTCATTAAGGGTAAAAGTGAGTTTTCTAACTCTTCCAACTCCTCGAAAACAACCCAAAGTCCTCTTGGAGCATAAAGTGCCTTTATTTGTAATATGTAAGTGGGAAAATGCTTTCCACTGTAATTACACCAAAGGGATATTAAATGAATGGAATTGGGATATGGATGGAATATAATAAAATAGAGCCGTTTGAGGTTCCCTATGAAATGAGGCATGGAACGGAGCCACTACGAAGAAGTTCCGGGGGTTACGAAGGAAACTTTGAGTTCATATTGGTCATGGGTTGAGAACGGGAATTGAACTCTATCAGATCTAATCTCCCGTTGTTCCTCAGTAGCTCAGTGGTAGAGCGGTCGGCTGTTCACTGATTGGTCGTAGGTTTGAATCCTATTTGGGGAGATTTGATTCATTCCGAATTAAAGAATTCAAGGTTTGATATGCGGCTTGGTATAGTTCAAGGTTTGAAATCAGATAGAGACAGAGTCTGTAAATGTCTCTAGTCTCGGCGAGGGTGAAACTGTAAGTAGAAAAAAACAAAGGGGGTCAAACAGAAGAATAAATAAAAGTGGCGGGCAAGAGAAAAAAAAGCAGAGTTCCGATCGAATCCGTTGGCTTGGTCGCTCCGCAACTGGAACATGTTGCTCGGAAACCGGAAATTGTGTGTACACGACACAATCACAATGAAGGTATTTGGGATTATAACTGTAACTCCGCACGATGATTTCTCAGGCATTTGGGATTCGATGAATACTATATCCATTTGGGATTCCTCTTTCTTCTCCGACGATTTTTCCGGGCGATATGTTTTTGATGGAGCTGCTTATTATTTCTTGGCTTCGCTTCTCTTAATCCTTGTCTTTCATATCTTCATTTCCAGTAAATATCGCTTCTTCAGTTATGTTTCCTCTTCCTCTTCTTCTTCCCCCACGGACTCAGTTTCTCATGCCAAGTCAGGGTAAAAACTTTTGACTTTTCTTCTTCTTCGCTTTGTTACTTTCCGTTTCCTCTTGTCTTGTTAGATTAGGTTCTCACCTGCTCAAAGTGCGTTGCTTTCAAATATTCAAACTCTAAGACTCTCTCTTTCTCTGATGGATTCTGCTTGAGGTCTTAACTTGTCTTTAGGCTCCATGTGGTTTCGTTGAGCTATTGGTAACAGAGGAATCAAACTTAGTATCGTCTTGATCACTAGAATCCGTTTGCTTTTTTCGCATCTTTATGTGTGCGTGTTGAAAATTGAAATCAGATTCCTGCTTATGACTCTTTGCAGCATATCCGGACTAGTTTCTGATGAAGATTTGAAAAGGCTGATCCAAACCTTGGAGGAAAGAGATAAGGCGATATGGGAAAATGTTATTCACAAAAGCAACAATCGCATTTCATACACTGCTAAACGCTACAGGCCACAAGTAAACAAGCAGACTTATTAAATGTCTCCGCTCCCCACTTGGGGATGATAACATTTATTCTGATTACTAATGGGATAATATTATTATGTTTTAGGATGGTGGTCCTATGAAGTACCTAAGTGTTACGGTCTTTGAGGATTGCCCCGCAGAGAGATTGAGGGACTTTTACATGGACAATGACTATAGGAAACAATGGGATAAGACTGTGGTTGAGCACGAGCAACTGCAGGTTGACAGTCACACCGGAATCGAGATTGGTCGCACCACTAAAAAGTTTCCATTGTTGACATCAAGAGAGTACGTCCTAGCTTGGAAGTTGTGGGAGGGAAAGGACACCTTCTACTGTTTCACCAAGGTCAAATGAAGTCATTAAAACTTGTCTCTGTCTGTCTCAGAGATTAGATTACAGAATTGTTTGTTGCTTCTTCTTAACTTGTCTTTTTGTTTCTGCTCTTTGGTTACTTACTTAGGAATGTGATCACAACATGGTACTGCGACAGAGGAAGTATGTGCGTGTAAGCTATTTTAGATCTGGGTGGCGCATCAGGAGAGGCAAGTTGTTTGGTGAATACAGTCCTTGGTTTCTTTGTCTGTTTGTGCATTTCTTCATTCGTTTTTAGCTTTGATTCATGACTTGAAATCTGGGTGCAGTTCCTGGTAGAAATGCATGTGAGATCAAAATGTATCACCAGGAAAATGCGGGGTTAAATGTTGAGATGGCGAAGCTGGCTTTCTCAAAAGGCATATGGAGTTACGTTTGTAAGATGGAAAAGGCACTTCGTAACTACATTGCAATCACTCATAGACCTCAAGGGCCCCTTTTATCTGCTCTCAACTTTATCCAAAAGGTGACTTGTTTAGCTTAACTGAATATGCATCAAGTAACCGGTTTCATATGTTTGACATCCTTTCCTACAGGTTCCATCAGAGTTTGAAAGTCAGACAGAAGAGGATGTCACAGTCTCCATGGGAACTAGTAGTGGCGGAAAACAGAACAAGTTATTGAGAAAGCCATCAAAGAAACTGATTGCAAAAGGTCTGCTTCTTGTGGGCGGTGCCTTCTGCTTGTCCCGTGGTCACTCAGCCTTAGGTGCTAAAGTAGCGTTGGCTTACCTCTTGACGAAGCTCAACAAACGTGGCACTCCTCTGAGTCAGACCACCCCGAACACTAGTATTTAAGTAAAGTTTTTTGCTTTAGCAATGGCTCTGACCACATGATCTGTGCAGGTGCAGAGTTTGCCAGACTTCAAATGGCCATCTTTCTTCACCATCTCGTCACAAAATACGATTTCTCTTTGATTGAAAATCCTGATATTATTCGAACACCACTACTTCCATTCTTTAAGCCAATACGCATGAGTATTTCTGTAACTCACCGAGCGATGGGATCCCTAAAAGTGTTCAAGTCTCTTTTGATATTATTGTGTAATAGATTCAAAATTTGACTCATGAAAATGTAAGAAGAAACTACTTTGTTGTTACAAAATTTACAAGAGTAACGTTCATCCTCTTCCACTTCCTCTTCCCCTTATGTATTAGTTTTCTTTCTTCACACTTGCAGTTTCAGTAGTTAGATGCTCATCCGAGACTGCAATTTTGGCTTGGTGATTCCCCTCGTGTTCTTCCTCACTGCCCCATTTTCTCACGAACTTGGGAACCATGTTTTTCGCATCTGAAACTTCATTCATGTCACTAACTCTTTCAAACCGGACTGCGCTCACTTTTCTGGCATTCCCTGCTAGGATCTGTCCACAGAGGATCAAATATTTGCTGAATATGGATGGTACAGAGGCAAGTGCTATTATGAGTCGAGCAATGTATGTACCTCTAGTCTATAAACTTGGTGCTTCTCCTTCTGATCTTGGCGCTCGTGTTTACCCTCTTCATGTTCATCATGCTCTTCCCAGTTTTCCTTTTCGAGGACTACCGTCACACTCTCACCAGTCTTTGGGATGTACCCAAAGGCCTCGCAGACAAAACCTGAGACTGTTTCGTACTGATGTCCCTGCTTTTTCAAATCAACAACAATTTAGGAATTATATATATATTAGAAGATACATGTGTTCTGATTCTACAGGGATGCATTAAGGAGTGGATTACCTCTGGCATCTTTATATTGAGTTCTTCAGATAACTGGTCAATCGAAGTGTTGGCATCAACGTCATAGATACCCTCAGCTC